CCACAAAAAAAAAAACTGCAACTGACAAGCATGACAAATAAAGGTCGTCAAAATTTGTGTTCGTCGCTCCAGTCTGGGAAGATAGCCCACTGTTGCCTACCACTGCGGAGTGTACACCTGTAAGCGAAAACAATTAGGGCCCAACAAGGCACGCGAAATCACCACGAGAAAAAATACGGTCATAGTCCACTTGAAACGTATCACACGACTATAAAACCAGAATAATAACCAGCAACGACCCAACGATATAATTTGAGCCCCGCCTTGAGAGTCATATAAAACCGAACCCAAAAGCACAAAGCGAGTTTTGAGAACCGATAACAAATTTTATTTTAAATTTATCGACGGCGCCTCATTTGAACCAAATTGTTGCGCTTCCAAGCTGCGTGACGAGAACCACCGATGGTTTTGCTGTATCCATAACCCTTCCCGAGTCCACGGGATTTGTAAGTGGCAGAGGTAAGACCACGCTGTTCACGATGTTTCTGATTAGCTTTGCAAATCCAGCGAATGGCAGGATCCCGACGAATAGCCGGATGATTTGGGTCGACACAGATTACCTCAAAAAACTTGAACGTACTGTCTTCGCCAACCCAGTATGAGTTAAGTACACGAAGTGCACCGCATTTGCGACCAACACGATCCTTGAAAGACAGTTGTTAGAGATTCCTGGACGTACCTCAGCGGTGGCCTGAATGGACCGTTGATTCTTTAACTGATTTACACCCTCATTTGTTGGTTTACCGTAAGTGGCACCCTTGGGAACAGGACGCTTTCGGCCACCACGACGTACACGGGTGCGGTAGATGACGAAGCCCTGCTTAGCCTTGTAGCCAAGCCGCCTGGCTTTGTCTGGTCGAGATGGACGACTAACACGAACAATCTTTTTAGACTGGCGGAACTCCCAACATCTCATCCGCAAGAGATAGCGCATTACGTCAGACTGTTTGTGGCGGTACAACTCCTGCATGAATTTATAGGCGCCCATGGTGTAACTATAACATAAAAGCAACGCAACAAGATGAGGAAGCAAAAATTTATTTCCTTGCCTAAAACAGTACGAATACAACAAACTATTGATATGACAAACTAGTAGTTCAAACAAGGCCCACAATCCCAAACACCAACTCACGTTTCGAGATAGGCAAAAGCAGAGGGCTAGACGAAAATGCGGTCAGTAAAACAAACCACTAGTAAAAGATAAACTATGTCGACTATCTATTCGTCAAAATTTTTGACGAAATGGCGCACAATGTAAAGCAACTAAAATTAATAATTAAATATAAGCGTCTTATTTAAAGATTTGCTATTTTTAAATATTGACCAATTGTTTTCAATTTCCTGCCTAAACACAGAAGCTATAAAGTTGCCCGCAGGACTCACATACGACTTTTAGCTCTGCATGTGTTATAAAAGGAATTAAGCGGTAAAGCTTAAGCTAAACCCAAAGACCAGCTTACATGTACAAG